TCCATGTTTAGCAGTTTGAGGAACCTCCAAACAGTTTTCCATAGTGGTTGTACTAGTTTGCATTCCCACCAGCAATGCAGGAGAGTTCCTTTTTCGCATGGAGGTCTTTTTGAAGAGTTTTCTTAGGCTTGAGAGCAAAGGTGGACTCTAGTAAACTTGAGTGAAGAGATGTTAATCATTGGTAGTCAAAATGTTATGAGTGGGAACAAGAAATGGGTTTGTATAATCACATCTTATTAGGAGTGAAGTCACGGATTTGGCCGTCCTGCCTAGAGAAAGTGCTACTGCCTTAATCAGGCAGATTTTGTCCACAGCTACCTGGGCATATTCCTATTGAGAAGAGGCCATTTCACATGATTGTGTACGTGTGTGTGTCAGTGCAACATGAAGGACCATGTACTTTTCCCCCAGATGCTCAGCTGAAGTCAGCTAGATCGTTTTCTATGGGTCATAGGTCTCTTTAGTAAAATCTATCCTGGCTATCCTGGAAATACACACCCTTCTCATCTACAACCACCGCTAGAGCAAACCCTCCCTGCTCAATGTGGCCACTGCCTTTGTTCTTCTCTTTGGAAGTTTGTATCCATTTAATTCAAGAAATTTCTTCCCTCATCAAATGCGAACCCTCACTGTGTCTTTACTACCTAGCTGTGCCCAGGAGCGGTCAGGAGAGGGCCAGGTGGGGGACATTGTGCTGTGAGAATCCAGGTGTTGTGGGTGGGTGTCAGTCTTCATGCCGTAAGCAGCAGCTCATCAGTCCTGGTACCCAGGAGAAGGTGGTGGCCAGGGGCCACAGCTTCACATGGTGTGCACAGGTGGCCTGCCCCTTGGCTCTGGGTCCAGGCGTGGCATGTGCCTGTCCACTGGAGACCCTGGGTGTTTGGGGGCACAGCACTCAGTAGCGTGTCCACTAGCCATGAAGCTCAGCCAGTACAGCCATCTCCGTCCTGGAGGGCTGTTCGTGTAGTCCCATCCACGAGCACCTGCTGGCAAGCTCTGCTTTGCTGTTTTTGTGTATGTCTCTGAATTCTCTTCTCCACCCGAAGAGAATCATTTAATTTGGCCACATTTTCCCAATGTTCAGTTTTTTAGGTTCCATATTAGAAGGGCTGACTGGGAAATCTAATGATGACTTGAGCCAAGAGGAGCTGTGCACCCAAGGCCCAAGAGGGAAGGGCACGCCTCCAGTGTTGGAGGGCCAGAGGCTTCCACAAATGTCCTGACCATGTCCCGTGTCTGTGTCGCCCAGGAGGACGCTGTATGCACCCTCAGCTCCTGAGGGGACGCCGCAGGCATGACTGACATCGCCAACCACCTGCCCTACTTCTTTGGCAACATCACCCGGGAGGAGGCTGAGGACTACCTGGTGCAGGGGGGCATGAGTGATGGGCTGTATCTGCTACGCCAGAGCCGCAATTACCTGGGCGGTTTCGCCCTGTCTGTGGCACACGGGAGGAAGGCCCACCACTATACCATCGAGCGGGAGCTCAACGGGACCTATGCCATAGCTGGGGGCAGGGCCCACGGAAGTCCCGCCGAGCTCTGCCTCTACCACTCCCAGGAGTCCGATGGCCTCATCTGCCTCCTCAAGAAGCCCTTCAACCGGCCATCTGGGGTGGAACCGAAGACTGGACCCTTTGAGGACCTGAAGGAAAACCTCATCAGGGAATATGTGAAGCAGACCTGGAACCTGCAGGTGAGCCACAGATAGGGGGGCTCTCGGGCACACTCTCATGCTCTGTAACTCCACACAGGTGCCCAGTTCTATGCAGATCTGTGCCCTGGTGTTGCAGTAAAGCACCAACTCCTTGGTCATTGATCTGGGTCAAAAAAGGCCAGGCTCCATGAACACAGCCTTTCCTCTCCTGGTGCCAGTGATGCCTGCTCCTCTACAGGAGAACACTGCCATCCAGGGCATGCTGGGCCCTGTCAGAAAGGCCTTGGAAGACACTCTTGTGCCTGTCAACAGCAAAACAGCCCACAGAGCTGTGTCCACCTGTGCGGGGCTGCCTGACATTCCCACTGTGCCTCATCATTTATCTAGCTAGTACCTACTAATGGGCATTCCCTCGTTCACAAATAAAGGTGTTAGTCACATTCTGCTCTACCCACGTCTCTAAGTTTGTATGCACTATCTTTAGAATTAATCCTAAGTGGGTTGTGTTTAATTTAGATGTATTGACAAGGTGTCATCCAGGAAGGTCCCCGAGGGTGAGTGTTTGCATTTCTTCCACACAGCAGCCCTTAACGTCAGGAGCCACAGGCTAGTTGACAGCCTCCTACCTGGACTTACATGTTCAAACATTTCTCTGCACTTCCTCGATGTACACACCGTGGGCTTTGCTGTATTATCTAATACTTACAGGTCTATGCCAGTATAGGTTTCCTATGGTTACATACAATGGCTTCTGTGGATTTCTTTAATATGTTCTGCACTATGTTCAGCCTTGCAGACAGTAGTAATACCGTGTGCTCAGTATTCTTCATCAGTGTATATTAGATGTGTCTTAGACCATTCTTTTATTCTTTAAAGTCAGATGAATTAGATTTATTGAGGTGTAATTTACACACAGCTTCATCCTTTTTGGTTGTCCAGTTCTGATTTTTGGCACATACATAATCCGGTGGATCCCCATCAAGAAAGGTAACAGTTCCATCAGCTAACAGGCACCCAAGCACCCACATGCCCACCCCGACTCCAGCCCCTGCCACCCCCATCTAATTTCTACCCCTATAGCCTTGCCCCTTCCAATGTGACTACACACCATGGAAACTTTTGCTGACCATCTTCTTTCAGAGTCTTGTGCTTGGAAGTAGCTGTTGCTACTTGTTAGTGGTTTGTTCTGTTCTGTCCGGCAAGTGTTCCACGTCCTCACTCTGACCTCTGCTCCCATTTTTCAAATGTCTTTCTGTATGTAAACTATGCTGTGAAGCATGACAAAATCTCCAGACCACCTCCTGCTCTCTTCTCTTCCACCCATCTGCTAGTATGGACCAGTCATTGCTGTGTTTTTACTTCTCTTGGTTCTTTTTTTATAACTTTAAATAATCAGCCTTGAGATCTTCATGTGCTCATGGAGGCTCTCTGTCTCTCTCACTGAGAGCTTCTGTCTGCTCCATCTTGGTTTTGTCCTCTTGGCTGCCATGTCTGCTCTGCTGAGCTTTGTTCCTCGATGTCAGTAATGACCATCTCCTGCACTCACTAGTCACAGTGGTTCTCAGAACTCCCGGAGACTACAGGAAAGCATGTGTCTCCTTTGTTACACTCATCTTAAGTCTTAATGTCGTAAGTGTTGAGTCTCACACTGAACCATCAGTTCTAATAGAAGACTAGGAGCAACAGACTGCACGCCTCATCTCTAGGTCTCATGGGTATACCAGATGGCCTCTGACATGTCTAGTTTTACAAAGGCCAGTCTCTATAGACTTAAAATCTATTTGTTTTTGAAATGCTTACAGATGCTTAAATGATATATAAAGATCTCGTGTTCTATCTATTGGTCGAATGAACAAAAAAAATAAATAATTTGACCATATTTTACCTTTTCATGATTTAAGACAGGTTGGGAAAGATATCTGGGTGTTTATTTATTTATTTATTTATTTTCCGTGTTTAGTAGTATTTCTTTGCTGTTCTCTCCTCCCGGTAGGGTCAAGCTCTGGAACAGGCCATCATCAGCCAGAAACCTCAGCTGGAGAAACTCATCGCCACCACAGCCCATGAAAAAATGCCCTGGTTCCATGGAAAAATCTCTCGGGATGAATCTGAACAAATTGTCCTAATAGGATCAAAGATAAATGGAAAATTCTTGTAAGTATTATGTCATTTCCCTTCACTTCTTGTAATAGGCCTGCTCAGACAGGGGAGACTGAGTTGCCTTATTACTGGACTCCATGTGACCCCAGGGAGGAGTCACATGCTGTCATCTGACAAAGCTCGTGTTAGAATCAAAGCTGTCCCTTTTAATTCAGCATTTGTCTTGCCCTGTCTGACCACTGAGGGACGTATTGTTTAAAGAAAATGTTACTTGACCACATGTAATGGCATGTGCAGAATGTGCAACATTATCTATGGTTATCCACCTAAGGGTGCAGGATTCCAGTTTGTTCACTCCCGTGTCTCTGAGATCTCTGATTTGACTTCTGCTTTTCCTTGAAACTAAGCACCCACGAGGTATAAAGTAAAGGGAATTTTCTGAGGGTAGTTCAGTGAATGTGGCTGTTTGATTGTGGTGGGTTGGGCAGCCCTCTGGCCACAGGAAGCAGTGGTGCCACAGGAAACAGTGGTGCATCTGAGCGCTGCCCATTACCCCTGGGTCAGTCAGTGTGAGCCTCAGAATTGGAGGTCCTGGGACCGGGTCTTCTTGAGGCGGGCCAGTGTGTAGGAGGTGTGAGGTGTCATCTTGGTGGGGGGTAGCCTGCTCCCTTGTGGTGACACGAAAGGATCCTTGTATTTGTCATCCACTGAGCGTGACCTGCAGGTGCTAACCAGACAACTAGTCACTTTGCCTTAGGCCCTTAAAGACAGCAATGCAGCCTCACCATCAGGCACATGGTGTCTCAGCCAGATAAGGCAGATGTTTCCTTGAAAGGGAGGTGATTTCTGAATAGGCATCTAATTAAAGAATGCTCCTCACTGTTTACCATCATAACTCTTAGTTGAAAAAAGACTTTAAACACAATATTCTGTTTTCAAAAATGACCCTAACAAGAAGAGAACGTTCCAGTGGGCACACAGCAGTGAAAGGAAGGATTGCCGAGATGCTGGAGGCACTGTGGCCACCAACAGAAATCCTCTGGGGGGGACACTTCTCCCTTAGTGTCTCATTTTCCCCTGAGGCTTTTACCATATTCTAAGAAAGTGTTTTTTTATAATACTGCACCGGCCTGCATTCAGAGCATCTTGGCCCGCAAAGTGGGCTTCAACTTGTATAACACGAGCCTTTTCCCTAGTGCAGACTCCTGTTCTTTCACTCACCAGGGGACAGCTGTGGTCAGGGCGGGCTCCTGCTCCCTACTTGAATGATGGGGTGCTACCACCTGCTACAATAGCTCCTGCCCTGGACCATCTAAGGGGCTCAGTTGCTGTTGCTTTCTTCCCACTGATGCATCTTGGGCTACCCTAGAGAATGCATGTCCTGCCTGCTTTCCAATCATTTAAACTAGCTTATCTAGCCACGGACTGACACTCACTGGTGTCCATGGTTGGGCAACACGATATGCTGTTCTGGGCACTGGGGATGGAGGCCTGAACTACATAGCATCCATCTTGTGGAGTCAACATCTCAATGGAGAAATGGACTCCAAACAATTGAGCAAGCTCTGCAGAGCATGTTGCCACATTCAAGGAAGGGAATAGAATATCAGGGTCAAGGTATCAGAGTTCTGTTTGATGCTTGGTGGTAAGGAAGGTCTTGCTTTCTTTTGAGCAGACCTGAAGACAGTGCGAGCCATCCCAGCAAGGGAATAGCATGTGCAATTGCCCTGAGGTGGCTGCCACCCGGGTCCCCCATGGCTGGTGCAAAGGGAGATGAAGAAGGCCAGACAAACAGGCACTAGGAGGACTTTGCTGTGGGCGAGTCTGTCTACAGCTTTGGGAGGATTACAGCAGCTGACGTTCAATAGAGCCCATCTGGCTGGGTGTGGGGAGCAGACTGAGCAGACGCTGCCATGTGCATTTGAAGCAAATTTCATTTTTCTACGGCCATCTCACACGTGGGCATATTTGGCAGCAGAAGGGACAGTGTGGGGGCTGATGCTGTCTCAGTGTGGATCTGCCCTGTGCCAACACACGCTGCAGTGTGCACGATAGTGCCAGGAGCAGCAGCCCCTCTGCACCCTCCGTTACCCTCTGCCCTTGTTCAGTAAGGGAGAAGAGAGACTCTGGGGCCAGGACTTGACCACACAGGTACTGTCCTTGGTGGACAGCTCTCTCCATCATAGGCTTACTGTCCTTGTCCAACCTCATCTTGCCCTGTAATCCACCCCACTCAGGCTGACATTCCTGTTCTGGTTACTTACGGTCTCCCACAAGAGGCTCTCCCGGTCTTCCTGGACATAGTGGCGACTGCCCACCACAGGCTTTTCACACCCTCTCTGCTCCCATCCCCTCACCGTGCACAGGGGCTCTTGTCTCCTTTGGGACCCCATCTGAGACTTCCAAAGGCCCTCTTGCCTTTCCCATGACCTGCCTGCTGCAGGCTTCCATTAACTTGATTTCAACAGTGCGTGCCAATGTGCTGCGTATCACTCTGAGCACTTTGTAGAAAGTGAATAAGTAGAAGTCATTTTTTGAGTCATTCATGCACCATATAGGCAACAAAGGCCTAGGGACACTCAGCCGAAGTTATCAAATGCTTGCAGTTTCCGTTTAGGGACTGATGTGAAGAATCAAGTGTGAAATATAAGAATTTATTCTGGAACCTCTGGTTACATTGAGGTTCAATGTGACAAGACCCCTGCTTGGGGTTGGCGCCATATTGGAAGAAGGTCCTTCCTTGCTGGCATATGTCTCAATAGGCAGCAGAACCAATGGAGAGTCCCCCCATGTCTCCTCCCTTCACCCTCCATCCGCCCATTTCTCCTGGAGCAATTGCTGGGAGGTACGCAGTAAGAGCAGCATAATGGGGTGCTTTCCTTTGCTCGTCAGGTATTGCTTAATGATGGGACATGTTTTGAGAAATGCATCTTAGACCATTTCAGCCTTGTGCAAATGTCATAGGCTGTAATGACGCAAACCTAGCTGGTGTCGCCTACTACCCACCGTGGCTTGTATAGACCCTGGTTAATTGAAATGTCGCTGTCACGCAGCCCACGACTGCATTGGTATCCAGGGCAGTTCCGTGCAGGTCTGTTTTGGGGATGGAATGAAATGTAGCTTCTTGGATCTGTCACCTTTTACATCATTGTTGATGGGCAGTTGTACAGCCACTAGCCCTGCAGCAGCAAGTTGTCTTACCTCAAACACTTACTGTTTTCTTGTCTTTAAATGGGTTTTAGAATCATGCCTCTTCAAGTTCTTGAGGGTTACTTTTAGAACAGCTCAGTGCGGGGATGTCTACATTCAGATGGACATAGCAGGTCTTGAAAGTCATCTCCTCACTGAAACTCTTCCCACTCCTGGGCCAGCTGCAGGTGACCATGGCACAGGGTGTCACCCCTCTGTCCTTCTGTTTTTTAGTCTGTAATGACTGTTGATTTTTACTTTGCAGTTACAAATATGTAGAGTGAGAGTCTCTGTTCTGGATGGAAAAGCATTCACATTGCCTTGTTTTTTATGAAATGACATATAAAAGAAAGAATAATTAGTTCAGAGTTGAAAGTTCACTTTTGCACTGTAAGCCACAAACTGAGCGATAGAATTCTACCAGTTTGGTTGCAAACGAAATGCCAGAGATTATTCTTATGCACGCATTAGTGATATAAAACAGCTGTCTTCTGATAGGTTCCACTGCCTTAGTTTGATACCATCACAGTGTTGGAAGCAATGTTTATTCAAATTGGACTAACAGTTTGAACAAAGAATGCTAGAACACATCGTGGCCACCCAGAAATACCTTTGATCTAACAGACAGAGCATCATGGATGAAAAGGCAGCATGCTGGGCATGGTGGCGCGCGCCTGTAGTCCCAGTTACTGGGAGGCTAAGGCTGGAGCATCGCTTGGGCTGTAGTGCACTGTGCTGATCAGGTGTCTGGTCTAAGCTCGGCATCAGTATGGTAACCTCCTGGCAGCGGGGAACCACCAGGATGCCTAAGGAGAGGTGAACCGGCCCAGGTTGGAAAAGGCAGCATATTTCAAAAAAATGTGAAACCTAGTTTAAAATGCAGAAGATGCATTCCAGAAACCCAAACTGTGAACTACCCCTATGGACTGTGGCTGGGCAAGCTAACCCCCTTGGCTTCTGGTCCTCTTTCCTCATGGACAGGGTGACACCTGTTTGCAGCAGCCAGATACCTGAACCAGAGGGATTTTACTGCCAGTGGGTCCAATTCCTTGACTTTCGGACAGGACTCAGGCACAAGGGAGCTTATCCACAGTTGTCAGGCAAGTTGGAGACAATAGCCAGCATGCAGGGCGGCATCTGGAGCCAGAGCACTGAGTGTTAGTGGTGGCCTGCATGCCGGGGCCTGTCCCTGGGCCGTCAGACACCTCTGGCAAACGCACTTTGCCATTTTGAGAAATTAGTCATAGCTCTGGTGTGACTGACATGTGAACTTCTTAGGAAAGGAAAACAAAGCATATTTTTTCCTGAGAACTTTATATCCACTCCTGGAAAAGAAGGAACCAAGATTCTGGTGGGGTGGGATGTGTGCAAAGCTCACACAACTGGAAACCCTCTTCAGAAAAAAAGAAAACACCGTCTCAATTAGGGTTTTTTTTTTTTTAAGATTTATTTATTTATGCATACAGAACTGGGGTACAGGCCAGAGGTGCAGGGGCGGTGAGAGATTCACCAGAGACAGAGTGGGGAGCAGAACAGGCCGACTGAAGAAGTACACTGCTGAGGGGAGCAGTGGGTGAGACAGGAGAGGTCTGCCACACCATGTGGGTCACCTCAGGGGCCCGGGATCAAACCCACACTGAAGCGGCTGTTGCTCGCTTGCAGTGCTGCAGCTGCACTTTAACCCACTGCACCACCAGGGAGGGCCACAATTAGGATTTTTAAAAAACATCTTAGTATAAGATATATACTAGCGTGAGAAAAATCCTATTAAATTATACATTTTGTAGGCTGATTCATCAAAACCCATAAAATTTAGGAAAAGGAATACTATTGTTTTGCCTGACACATCTCTGTAGCACCTTTGA